ACACACACTTATGCACACACACACACACACACACACACACACACACACACACACACACACACACACACACACACACACACACACACACACCACACCACACATGCTGATGCTAGATAAATAAATAAATAAAGTAACCGGTAACCGTTGGTTCACGTAAAAAGGGATCGGTTGTTTTCCCCAGAAGCAGTAAGCACGGAGATCAGTTCTGGAACTACCATAGAGCATTTGTTTGGGTCAGATTACCACTGCTGAAAATTGAACATCGTAGCACGTTTACTAACAGCAAGAAGACTTTGGTACGGCATGGTAGATATTTTACGGAGCTATGGATACAGTAATAGCTGTTAAAGCGCCATGCAGTGAAAACCTTGCATTGGCAAAATATTTGGCTTGTGCTTGTTGTTGTGTTCTTTTATTTTCTGTCTATGGGTGCTTTATGCAATAGAGCATAAACAAATTTGGGCGGGACTGCACAAACGTGTTCTATGAGCTATGAGCAAAGTGCGCCCTCCTATCCCCCCCCCCTCTTTCTCCCCCTCTTTCTGTTTTGCCCTATCTCTAACACCATCCCCACTCTCACTCCCATCCCATCCTCTCTCTCTCCCCCCTCTCCCCTCCATCACTCCTTCTCCAAAGACGGTTAGTGGTTTGAAGACCTAATCAGCTGCCATCCGTATCGACCCCCCCCCCTCCCCGAAACAACCTCCCGGGCAGGCGCAGTTCGTCCATAGAGTCATGCAGTGCAAAATGTTTTAATGTTCTATGACGTAAACCACCCACAATAATATAATAAAAGACGCCAGAAACAAACACTAGCCTAATATTATATCAAAACAAGCCCTCGCTGGTGCCGTAACTGTCATTTCTATTCTATAGCGCCGTAAAACATCTACTATGCCATGCCTAAGTTCATGCGCTGTATCTAAACATAACAGGACAGTCAACGGTGGAAACCTGACCTATAATCGCTCTTTGGTATAACCCAAGCGATGACGACACTTGTAGAGAGTTTGGCGGTACATTAATATTAATAAGACGGCACATCTCAAATGTGCTCCTGCCGAATAGCGCCGAAACATAGCCCACAGTAGGCAATTTAAAAATAAACGCCATAGACTGTGCACTATTCCAAGTCAAAATTATGCGGGCCCCGGAGCAATCCAGCGGAGTGCTCAAGTGAATTGTGATTGGTTCATTGTCTGGTCGCTATTTTGAGTGACTCTGTGACCGTGAACCTGAGGGAGGTGAACGTGACATACTTAAGTCGCCGTCCTATGAGTTGTGCTTTTGAACAGTTTTGTAGTGGAGTGGTGAAAAGTATTACTTGAGTGTTCAGTTCTAATGCAGGATGAATGAAATTGACATTTAGCTAACAAACAGATTTAGTTCTAGAAGTCAACGCCACAAGTAAAAAGAATGAAAATAAAAGCACAAGGTCTTCCTTCACCAACCCAAAGATCCTAAAAATATACACCATCTCATTTACTCTGCCCTTGATTATCTTCAGCCTAAGATAGCTTAATTGTGCACGCCCACTTTTTAGATCCACGAGCCGCCCCTGCTCCCGGGGACTTCTCCTCATTCACCCCCCCCCCCCCCCCCCCCATCCCCACCCCTTTTTCCTTTTCCCCGCATCCAACACAGACAAATTATCTTTGAACAAAGTTGGCGCACAGCAATTTCCAGTAATAATCAACTGTTTTCCAATGCGCTACTTAGTACACTGTTTTAAGACGGGAACTGTATGAAATGCTACTTATAAAACGTAGTGCCTGGTTAGAGTCAGGGTGAAAAAAAGGGGGGTGGGGTGGGGGGTATCGTAAAAGGCATGTACTTTCTTTGTTGTTGTTGCTGTTGACCTACAGTGACAAAGTTCTACCCGCACATATTTAAAAAAAATAGTATTGAGGTCTTTCCTCACCCATTTTAAATATCTATATCTATTTGCAGATAGAACATTGTAACTGTTATTTTCACTTGAGGCCTCTAGATTTCTAGAAGGATGTGAAATCTAAATGACATGGTATAGGCAGTGTGTATATGTTTCTTGACCATGGCTTTCATTTTGTTTTATGTTTTAGTAAGGCTTTACGGCGCTCGCAACTGCATAAGGTTGTATTATGAGCGCCAAGGGTGGATGCCAACAGAGACGTCCATACAAGGAATTAGGCTTACTCTGCTCACTTCTCTAGCCCCTA